AAGATTTACTGGCAAACATAAATGCTCTTAGTATAACTGATTAGTCAAGTATAACTGATTAATCACGAACAAGATATGCTATTGTAATATTATACACATTATTCGTATAAATTTTAATAACATTTTCGTTAAAAACTTAAAAAAATATATATGTCTCTTATATTATGCTTTTATGTATGTCGCAAATGACTAGATCGCATTTTATTCGTAAATGTAATCGGTTTTTTATATCTTGCAAAGATTTAATTTTTTTATCGTCATACTTTTTTAGAAAAAGTTATTTGAGAATTTGGTTAACTCTAAAATATGATTGATTTTAATTTAATATATGGTCTAAAAATTACAATACTTGTAATTACATATGTGATAAGATACTTAAGCTTCTCTCTCTCTCTCTCTCTCTCTTTCTCTCTGCAGATTTAATACCTATGAATTAGTAATTAATAGAGTGGACCAAAGTTATTAGTTTTTGTATTTTGCGATTGTTTTTATACAATAGCAATAAAAAGATTTAAAAAATTATGTATTGTAATCTGAAGAAGGCTTAATTGAGAGGTCGAAACGTATAATATATATTTCATTTTTTAAAATTAATTACAGATATATATTTTTTTCGTTACAATTTTTATATTTTATACAAAATTTTTTATATTTGACTCTTATATGTCGTATACTCTATTGATTATGAATTTAAAGTGCCAAATATATAAAAATAGTATTCTAATTAATTTTAACATTACACTTATAATATTTCTCTATTAAAATTTAATAACTTGAACATATGACAAATAATTCTAACGAGAGAGAGAGAGAGAGAGAGAGAGAGAGAGAGAGAGAGAGAGAGTAGATTGGATTTTTTAAATATTAAAGCTAGAAGCTGTATATAGAATTGTCCTGTGCAATAAGTATTGAATATTTCTTTATATGCTTATATGCTTGCGACTAATGAAAGAAAAATTAACAATTTAGATAATATGTATCTATAATTATAGGTATATACATTTACATAATTGAGACCTTCAATATAAAACGTAGAAATAAAATCTTTTTGACAGAATAAATGAAAAAGGAGATATTACACAGTTTTATATTTTTTTTTTGTATTTACATCTCTAATAATCTTTGAATCTGTAGAAAAATGTAAATAGTTTTCATAATTATTTACAAATACTGTACATAGTCCATTCTTTTAATAATATAATTTTGTGAAGTGTAAAAAAATGCAGTTAAATAAAACGTGTTCTATATATGTGTATTACAATTTTTATTTTACACATTTATATGAAAATCTGCCATAATTCTGATGTTTTAACTAACTCTTGGACATCAATAAAAGAATTAAATAATTTAATTAAATTTTTATATTAACAATTTTGCCAACTTGACCGCTCGAATCTCATTTTGTCTATTTTTTGTCTAAATATGAAGACAAAATTTTGATGGAAACACTGAATAATATTGAATAAATCTAATTTTTTTAAATCTTTTAAAAGATCTTAGTCTTTTGAAGTCTTAAAAAAAATTTTAAGTTTTTAAAATTTTGAAATCTTCAAATCTTTCATTCAAAGTTTAACGATTTTAGTATTTTATTTTAATATTTATATGATTCCGAGATATAAATCGAGCGATGTGGGAGAACTCTCACGCCGAAACGATTTCTCGTTTCTCCTTATCGCTCGGTAGCTGTCTTTGTATTCGGCCTTGATTCCCTCGTATGTAGCAGAGAGAAGGTTTCTCTCTGTATGTAGCGATGCGGCGTCGGGCGTAGTGCTGCCATCGGTGAGCAATGCACGTGGTCGTTCTGTAGCGTGCATTCAAACTTGAGAAAGGCGTGGGGGAGACGCATCGTGGGTGGTCCATCGTGGTGCGCCGACCGGGAACGCGACGCGTTGTGTGGTCCGGCTGGTTCGTGAGCTTCGAGTGCGGCTGTCGCGTAGAAGATGCTAAACGCTTCGTACGATCGAGACGCAGACTTTACCTCATGGTTAAGCGGGATCGATCCGTGAACCCGACTGCACGAAGGTACATGTCTCTTGTTTATATGTCGCGTGTTTATTCTCACATGATACTCTATGTGTATTTCGTGATTAATTAATCACTATTCAATTTGACATTACCTCGTGAACGAGGCGTCGCGTTTTTATAAAGGGCAAGAGATAAAGTTTTTTTTGTGTCTCTTCTCAAAAATGAGGGAAAAAGATCGCTTCTGCTTTTGTTTACATTACAGTATACTTTCTTCACTTGCTTCCTGAATGTGAAAAATTGATTTTTTACTCGCAGATGATATTTTTGCTGCTCCTCTGTTGCCTGCTATTCTGCAACAGTTTACCTTTGGAACTGGAGCATGGATTTGCAGCTAACGACGATGGCGAAAACAGTATGTGGAAGGATATGAGTCGGCATCAAAGAATCAAAGATCCTAATTATCGATTAGATAGATATCCTATAGATGAATTGTCACCAGATATCTCGGCCTGTCGTAGACCTGCCAAATGTGTTCAGCTATCTAAAAGTACTTGTATGGGTACAAAATTACCTTATACTTTTACCACATTGGACCTTATACCAGAGCATGTAACTCAAGATATTGTTGAGGTAGATAAGATTACTATTAATTTTTTGTATTAATAATGTTTTTACTTATTTTTCTCACGATAAAGCATGACTTTATAAAAACTTATGCATGCAAGTTAGAAACTTAGCATTGCAAATCTTTCTAAGAAATAAACATTATTTTGCATCTATATAAATATGAGCATTAAAGTCTCAAGATTTATATTTAAGAGGGTCTCTGATAATTCTTCAGTTCTTATCTTACTATGTATAGGCTTATCTTTCTATAATGCTAAGCAACATTAATAAGTTAAGAATAATAAGAATAATATATTTTGTTAGCTGTATTTGAATATATTTTTATTTTAGCTTTTAATATGTTTCTTTTAAGTTGTTATATTATGTTGGTTTTTCTATAATAAGAATACATTACATTTATCACATACATCTTTTTACTTTCAGGAAAGATTGTATTTGTTGCAAGCTTTGAAGCATGTGCCAAAATGTTGGGCAGTCGTTCAGCCATTTTTGTGCTCAATATTTATGCCGAAATGCATTAATGATACAGTTGAATTACCATCTCAAGAGATGTGCAAGATGGTGTCAGGACCTTGCAGGATGCTGATGAATCATACAATATGGCCGAGTTTCGCAAAGTGTGATAATAAGGAATTATTTCCACGATTATGTCAGAATGACATTAGGGAATTGAAATTTAATATCTCGGGCAAATGTTTGAAACCTCTTGTACCTACTGACAATGCTCTTTCCATTTTTGACGGTGTTGAAGGCTGTGGGACACAATGTTATGACCCTTTATACACGCCGGATGAACATAATCAGATACATTCGTTCATTATATGGGCTGCAAGCATTTGCTGTACTTTCAATTTATTCACTGTTGTAAGTGGCACAAAAACATTTATGAATAATATATGCTAATTATATAATTTATATTTTATATTCACACGTTCCAGCTAACATTTGTCATAGATTGGAGAAGTGCAAATAAGTATCCAGCTTTGGTAATATTTTATATTAATGGTTGTTTTATGGTATCTTGCATTGGCTGGCTAATTCAATTCACTCCTGGCAGTAGGGATGTAGTTATATGCCACAAAGATGGAACATTAAGAACGAGAGAACCGAGGCATGTTTCACGAATATACCATAATGAAATTTATCATAATGACGTTGACTTAATTTTATAAAATATTTATTTTTTTACAGCGGGGAGAATCTATCGTGCGTTATTGTCTTCGTTCTTGTGTACTATTCTTTAATGGCAGCTGCTGTATGGTTCGTTATATTGACGTACGCTTGGCACATGAGTTTTCGAGCACTTGGCACGATACAAGATCGGATAGACAAAAAGAGTGCTTACTTTCATCTAATTGCTTGGTGCATACCACTCGTTTTGACGGTCGCAATCATGGCGTTAGGCCGAATTGATGGTAACAGCATGACAGGAATTTGCTTCGTCGGTTACGCCGATCATATGGCGAAGATTTTTGTGCTAGGTCCCGTATTACTCGCAGTGCTAATAGGAGGATATTTTTTATGCAGAGGTAGATATTGTTTCTTATCATTTGTATATTTATGCCGATATGATAATAATATTAAATTTTTACACATTTTTAATGCTTTCTGTATTAATCTAAATTGTGAGTATTAATGCATTATTGTTTAATGAACTGAACAATTATTCTTGCATCTATGATATACAATGTTGTATGTATTTTAGGACTCTACACGCTTATTTGTTTAAAAATAAGCAGTCAGGAGATCATATCCGAAAGAGCAAGTTCAAAAATAAAACAGACAATTGTCAGAATGGGACTCTTTTCTATAGGTACTCTTGCAGCTGTTGTTATTACATTCTACTGTCATATTTACGAAATTCAGAACTCGCAGCAATGGCAACAAAGCTTCAGAAATTACATGATGTAAGGAAATTTCAATATACAATTATAAATATAGCCCACATATATAAAGTGAATGTCCTAACGTTTTAACATGAGATATAAATATTTCATTTTCTCTTACGCGTTGATTCTAATTACAGTTGGTAATTTCCTATGGTAAATTGTTGGGATATCCATTAAGATTCACTTTGTATATATTCAAAATATATATTTTACATATAATATTAAATTTCCTATGAATATATTTGATTATTAGACACATATTTATCATATAATACTGTATTTAAATGTAATGTAAATATAATGTGATTATATTTGTTTAAAGATGCACGATTGCGTCAAAGTATGCAGACGTATCTGAATGTAAAATGGACTCGAGACCTAGCACAGGTAAACTG